AAATGGATACTCTTGTTCTCTCAGTTTACTATGCCGTTGAACGGGTGAACTTCAGCTGTGATCAACGATCCAAGGGCTTATGGCTTTTGAACTCATTCCCACAGCCATGCTGTCCCTAGTTCTCTTGAGTATTAATAGATCATTTACCGAGTCGCCAGCGGTATGCTGTAGTTTCCATATTCAAGGTTCATTAGAAATACATTTGGGTATATTTCTTACCTGTTTCATGAATTTATTATGTAAGTCTTCATGTTGTCTTGAGACAGATCATGCCATCTGCGATATCATCTACGTCACATATTTTATTACGATTTTATGTAACAGAGGAGTGAATATCTCACTTTAAAGGATTGGCTTTTTATAAATCACCTTACTCGATTAGTCCAAACTCAGATTAGTTGTGCCAATTTTTATTATTTCACTCAGCAAGCCTTGGAAAAGCTTTCTGTGAAGGAACTTTGACATTTTAAAAGTTATTCGCTTATGAAAATTGTTCGAGTGTCCGAAACAACATCTGTTACTGCGCGACATATGCTTCTGGGCTCAGAAGTGACAATGATCTGCAAAGCTATCTAAGCTAGGCGTCTTTCTCTGCTTCCCGTAGCTACCGTAAGCCAGGCTGCCAACCATGCTGGATTTAATTCCACAAAGCTAAAGCAAATCGCGACGGTGGTCTCTGAAGGCCTACAAATTCGTTCTCGGCTAGAAGCGTGTTTTTCAGCCCAATGTAAACAACCAACCGAGCTGAAGCGCACGTGCGCGGTCAAAGAGTTTCCATCTTAAGTAAATTATTGCAATATCGGCTGCCCGGACTTTGTTTTATAAACCGGAGTGCATAAAAATATACCGTGTTTATTAAGTTTAGCGTTGTTTCGTTCAAAGCAAATTGCACCATAAAAAACTGAAACAGCTATGACCAGTGTTGATATCAAGCCTGTTATGTTTACTGCTACAGAGGATAAGTAATATCTACGCTTTAATAAGTGACTTCATATTCAATGAGCGAAATCGACACAAATCAAAAGGTAAAATAAATGTAAATATGGTCATAAATTCATATATGAGTCCCACAAAATCCCGACCCAGGCACCTCATCGTGGTGTAGGAGTGGTAACTGCCAGAGCGTCGATGCACGGCGGGGCACGTGCCCTGGCAGCTCCTAGCAAGCCGAGATGACGCAGCACTGCATCTCTGGCCGGCTAAGGATGGACGGTACCACTGACAGCCTGGACCAGTGAGTGGTAAATTAGCAGGTCTAACAATTATGAACAGAAGAAGAAAAGGATATGGATCCCGGTACT